ATCAGCTGTTCTTTCAGGTCAAAGTCTCTCACGCGATGTATCGATCCCTCTTACAGGCAGCAATTTACCAGCGCGTTCCTCCTATTGCTGGTGGAAACGGCGATGGCTGACCGAATGGTCGAGTGGTTAACGTGGTGGCACTTCAAGTTAACGCACATAGGTTCGGCCGCGGGCGTGGTAGCACTTTTGCGGCTGTCTGCGTCGTCAAAATTTAATGTGCAGAATGAATGCGTGCTATGGTTACACAAGAATATTGAAACCTATAATCACTCCGCGAGTTGCCGGCGGAGTTGGCATCGTTCCGCGATGTGTGCCAACTTGCCGGCATCTATGATGCCACAAGGTAGGGTAGATTACTACCGGCATGGAGTTGCAGCTCCTCCTCGGTGGTGAGCCGATGAGATAAAAGATCCGAAACTTGTCCGCGCCCTCAAAATAGGTTCCCAGAAATCGGGTTTTTTGACTCTTTTCGACATTTTGGACTTAACAACTGTAATCAGGGCACGGAAATGGCCCCAGAATGGCAGGAACATGAAAGGCTAAATTTTGCCCGGACGCTGCCTTTAATAATTTCATTAGATGCTACCCATTTCCATGCTTGTTCCACTGTCTTTGTAACATGAAACGACGAGCAGATCGGTTGTCGTTCGATGCAGTTATTTCTCCTCTTTCTAATGGATGTTTTCTGTTTCCGACTCGCGAATTCTATGGAATAAAGCCATCACAACTCTTGGTTTCGAACGCGCCATGGACCCTGCTCAAAAATTCGAAATTCATTATTTCGGATCCGTAAACTCGAATTTGTTCCACAAAATCAGTGTTGAATCATAATTATCCTAGTAGTATCAAATTCCGGAGCTTTTCTGGTGTTTAATGCGTTTGTGTCTGACGTGGGTTTGCTAAGAGCCCATGCTTTGAGTAAGAAAAAAATCAAAACAAGAATATGGCAAGCTAAGGGAAGGAGACTAAAGTTGTGCTGTAGGTGAAGGAAGGCTGGTGTCTAGTGGTATATTGAGGTTTTCCTCCATAACTGGGCACACGAACAGATTGAAAACAAGAAATCTTATCCGTATAACAAAACGAAGACCAACGGCCCCAAGGCCAACAACGAACAAAACAACGAGAAAAAACACAAAATAAGGGGAATGTTCCAATTTGACCCCCTAGCAAGCCTTCGCACGGTTATGTCTGGATCAATTCTCTGTTAGTTTTCACGTGGGGAGGTCTGGTTCTCTCCTACAGTTTTCGACTTCCACGAGCCTTTTCTTCTCGATGCTCCTCGTTTTCTTCCCCTTTTATGCCCTCCCCTTTTTCTTACCTTTTTTGAAGAGGGGGCAAACCGCCTCTTCTTTCCGCCAGCTCTGTATTGATGATCTCCAGTCGCATCTTCCAACATCCCTCCCCTCCGAGCAGCCGTCGACTCCGGCGCGGTGGGAGTTATTCCAATTTCGCGCCGGGTGTTCGCATTTTGATGGCTTCATATAGGTGTCTGATATTCATTACTCCGCAGTAAGTGTCGTAAAACTGGAATAAATTTTCAGGCGCTCCTACCTCTATCCATATTCTAGCATTTTCAAGAGGGTAGACGCTAAAAGGTATAACCGGTCCGGGCTAGCGAATTATTCTAAGGTGGCGTCGATTATAGTCCACAGTTTGCCATGACTTTCCATATGTGTACCTCGCGACATTCTATTCGTGGCCAGGCTGATATCAGTTCTCCTTCTTCTTCGATTCTTTCAAGATGTTTTTTGCAGGCCAACATGATATTCGTGATTGCTTCTTCTTATTTCCGCGTAACCATCGACTCCTCTGGAGAGTTGGCATGAAGATTCAGAACAATGTCAAAGCTTCTCAAAGAAGCATGTTTCGCAGAGGTAGGCTCTTAGGAGCCCGTTGATTGTGCCGCGGTGAAATTGTAAGTAATTTAAAAAGGTGAAACGATGCATTGAATAATACAAGATTTCCCAAAAATCTTTGTTACGCGGACTGTGGCGTCCGTCTAAAAAATGCGAATTTACTTTCGGGTGGACCTAGTATTTTTACGCCACTTCCTAGATAGCCGTAAGGCGCTCGAATTGTGCCAAGATGTCACTACTTTTAAGATGACATTAGCGGTTTTTTAACGCTGAAAACTCTGATCCACCTTGACAGACAAACGGCAACGAATCCTGACGGGAGAATTTAAAGCGATTTGTGGCTTGACTATTTGATTGAGTTTGAGCCATCTTACTATACCCAGTCGCACCTCCTCGTTACGTTGAGGCAGCAGACTTGAAGGGCAGTGAAGATATGTAGATTAGTTGGGTGTTACTGCTTACAGTAATCCTACACTGCGCAAAAGTTCCAAATGCAGATGAAGCCGAACAAAGCAAGGATCTACTTCCTTCATACTGCTTCAATGCTTCTATCTCAGAAGTCAAAAATTGACAACTGAGCAATCTGTTTTTTTAGGAAACTCCATTCTGTCTCTTGGATATTATGACGTCGATTGCTGCCACGAGTGCCGTTTTGATTTTTCAGATAACAATTTTCTATGGTCATAATGGAACAACAAATGGGAAAGAAATGACGCGCTGTTTCCCTGTTTTCCAAAGAACGTAGATAGAATTCTTCACGGTAACATGGCAACGACAGGACGTGCCAATTTAAAGACACAAATTAAAAGTGGAAACGTTGTTTACACAACGAATAAGAGATAAAAAGATTAAACTTTACGGTTGGAATAATCTTCTTTTTAGCAATTTTAGTTCAATGTGTTCTCCGCTAAATTGCGTAAGGAAAATTTTTCCTTTGATCTGATATGAAACATAGCCGCTGACAAATGACTGACTTTGTTGCAGAGTGAAGGTACTTAGAGAATACCACACCCTCTTAGCAAAGTATTTTACGATGAATTCCTCTGCAAACACACTGCACAATGCTTTATTTCATCTTATCACTTGTTTCATTCATCGCACTGATTATGAAATACCTCGCAATCACACTTTTTGTAGCATGTCTTCTCGTCATGTTTGCAATTCTTCAAACATTCATCACTGAAAACACAATATTTTTTGTTGCGCATCAAAACAACGTAATTTCAGGCTTACACGCGTTGTTTTTCTTCTGGCGTGAGGCTTTTAGCATTCGTTAGCCCTAAGAAACAAGCTCCCAGGAAGAAAAAGAAAAAGAGCAGGTTCATAGTTGTTTTCAGCAATATGAGTGTGCCCTGAAAAATTCTGATAATTTTTGGGTATGTTTGTAACATGAAAGAGAAGCGACAGCACAGCGTTTATGACTAATTGAGTCTCCTTTGCAAGACAGATACATTGAAAAAGATGGATTGAAGCAAACTTGCGATTAGAAGGTTAGAAAAGTTCGACGAAAGCTGCACTGCGTTTGTAAAGAATGAGTTGATCAGTGTGTGATGCTTGTAATTCAAACCCACTGAAGTGGTAGGATTGTAATAATGAACTGTGTTATTTCTCATTTGTGCAAAATGTCCTCTCTTCGATATCAAAAAACATAATGCCTAGTCAAAAGCAAAGGCTATTTTATCATCATAGCGAGCATGGAAAAATTTTACTCGCAAAATGAAATTCTGGTAAGTTCTCGAGAAATTCATTTAGTTTATCATACTTCGGTCATCAATGGCCATCAGGGAGGTATTAGGTTGCTGCATAAGTTCTGTCCGATTTTTTTGCCTTATGTTTGAAGCCGCTGTTCTAAGGGAATTTCATCTCTAATGCAATATTGCTGGTATCATTAAAAAGTACTTTCCTTGCGCTTTCTAACGCATATCAGGTTCCAATAAATTTCTTAGTGTACGGAGAATTCAGGCCTAGAATCTCCAAGTGGCCGAGGTACTTCTCACCCTAGAAGTATGTTCTTGTGAGGAAATCTCCACAATGCGCTCTTCAAGTCAAGTTCTTTCATTGGCTGCGGATTAAGGGTGTAGAAAGCTAGTATATGCAAAAGTTCGGTTCCATGAAGAAAACACCTTGCTGGTAATAATTATCATCAAATATCAATTTTTTGTGTAGATGTTTTACAAGCTATAACTTTCTGCGAATACAAGTAATCGATAGGCTCAAAGTTGGAGGTGCTAGGGCAAAGCAAGAGCTAGCAGGACCCATCCACCAGTTCCTTTTCGGCGCTCACTTTAGTAGTAAAATTTTCAAACTCGTAAATAGGCATGCACACATGTGCTGAAGCGAGGTCAAAAAGTGGTTATTTTTTTGCTCGGTCAAAAAAATCTCTCGGCAGCGCAGACCCTATGGCATCTTTTATGTTGCATAATAATCTACGAAAATTTCTCTATCTATCCATTGTTAGATAAGATGTTTATCAAATCTCATAAGGGAGCGTTGCCACGTCAAAAAAGACAGGTTTGAAGGAAAACGCTGTGAAGTTTTTGTATTCTTGCTTATTCATTAACAAGGATTCGCGCCGGTCCCATTATGTGCTTCATAGCCAAGGAACTGCTCAACAAATAGAAACTAAGATCTTGGAAAAAAGTTGACTTTGAAAGAAGTGACGACGTATCAAACTCAAAAAATTCAAATCGGACAGAACTTATGCAGCAACCTAATACCTCCCTGATGGCCATTGATGACCGAAGTATGATAAACTAAATGAATTTCTCGAGAACTTACCAGAATTTCATTTTGCGAGTAAAATTTTTCCATGCTCGCTATGATGATAAAATAGCCTTTGCTTTTGACTAGGCATTATGTTTTTTGATATCGAAGAGAGGACATTTTGCACAAATGAGAAATAACACAGTTCATTATTACAATCCTACCACTTCAGTGGGTTTGAATTACAAGCATCACACACTGATCAACTCATTCTTTACAAACGCAGTGCAGCTTTCGTCGAACTTTTCTAACCTTCTAATCGCAAGTTTGCTTCAATCCATCTTTTTCAATGTATCTGTCTTGCAAAGGAGACTCAATTAGTCATAAACGCTGTGCTGTCGCTTCTCTTTCATGTTACAAACATACCCAAAAATTATCAGAATTTTTCAGGGCACACTCATATTGCTGAAAACAACTATGAACCTGCTCTTTTTCTTTTTCTTCCTGGGAGCTTGTTTCTTAGGGCTAACGAATGCTAAAAGCCTCACGCCAGAAGAAAAACAACGCGTGTAAGGCTGAAATTACGTTGTTTTGATGCGCAACAAAAAATATTGTGTTTTCAGTGATGAATGTTTGAAGAATTGCAAACATGACGAGAAGACATGCTACAAAAAGTGTGATTGCGAGGTATTTCATAATCAGTGCGATGAATGAAACAAGTGATAAGATGAAATAAAGCATTGTGCAGTGTGTTTGCAGAGGAATTCATCGTAAAATACTTTGCTAAGTACTCTGCGTTGATACCACTGCTT